GTGAGCAGAGAGTTTGGGTGTCTAACAAGGGTGAAGTGCAGTGGAATTTGCCTGCAGAATGGGAGGAGCAGATGACTTTCGAAGAGCGCGCAGCAGGACCTGACCTGAATGGTGATGACGTCATCAATTTGATCAAGGCCTGCAGTGACGACTCTTCATGGGAAGCCTTTTGCAAATTTGGCCACGGCTACCTCTTGTCCAGCCCTGGCGCTTCCAGATCAGTGGCCAAAGCGGTCAAGTCAGCCATTGACAAGATTCCCGGCAGATTAGATGAAGAAGGTCAGGTTCGTTACCACATTCATTCTCACCAGACAGAAGAGGATATGAATCAAACTGAAGTCTCTTCACATGACTTGGTGAGAGCTTCGGCTGAGGCAGTTTCTCAAAGTGTTTTTTGGGATGAAGGCATTTCTGAGGAGGAGAGGGAAAAGTGGCTTCACGGACTCCAAAAAGAATCAGATACCGTGTCAGAGAAAGAAGTGCTGAAGGCAGTCACGCGCGAAGAAGCTCAAGAGGCATGGTCTTTGAGCTCCGTTGCGGAACTGCCCAAACCAGTTCCCAGAAAACTCGTGTTGACTCGCAAGCCAGATTTGAGTAGTTGTGCAGCTGAGCCTTCAGCTTCTGCAGCAGCTGATGCAGTGCAAAATGCGTGGACTGCAAAGGTGCGCCTGGTAGCTTGTGGCAATTTCCAAGAAGACACCAGTCCTCATATGCTTGAAAATTCCTTCAGCAATCCATCGCAAGAGGTCTTCCGCCTGCTACTGTCAATGCTTGCCCGGCACTGCGACTGGACCGCGATGATTTTGGACATTTCATGCGCATTCTTGAATGCTCTGCTCGGAAACGAAAGGGTCCTGATTCGTCCTTCTCCAGTGCTGGTACGCTTGGGATTGCTGTCCCCAAACATTTTGTGGATAGCGTTGCGGGCAATCTATGGGCTACGAAAATCACCCAAGCTTTGGGAAGAGGAGCGTAACAGGACTCTTGACAACCGAGTTCTCAACCTGTCTACAGGCAACGAGTCATGGAGCCAATTGAAAATGGGGCCTGGGTTTTGAGGTCGGGCGGTGAGTGTGTTGGTCTTTTCATGATGTATGTTGATGATGGCTTGGCTGTTGCCTCACCAGAGCTGTTGAAGCTCGTTGGCATTGAACTCAAGTCCCTGTGGAACCTGAAGTTTCAAGGACTTCTTTGCGGTGGTGGAATGGAAGAAGGTGACACCATGAAGATTGATGATGTGAATCTCCCGGTGCAACGGGAGCTGAGCTTCTTGGGAATGAAACTCCGAAGATCTGCTGATGGAGGGCTCCTCCTTCATCAAACCCCATGGTTGGTCCAAGAACTTACCAAGCGTGGGTGGCTTCACATGAAGGGCTCCCCATCGCTTCCAGCTGTTCCCGAAGGCACGGTAGACGCCATGCCCAGGGACGACTCCTTTGCCGACGCTCTTCGTCGAGCTCAAGGAGAAATTGGCTGTTTGCAATGGTTGGCACTTCGCAGCAGACCTGACATTGCTGCAACGGTTGGGTCAATTGCTTGCATGTCTGCTCTTCATCCCGACTGTGTCAAGGCGTCTGGCGCTACTTGAGCGCAACACGCCAGCATGGCATCTTCTTTCAGTCCTTTCCAGATGGCAGTCGGCTTTCGGATGCTCTTTGGTGTTTTGGTGATGCCAGTCTGGCACCAGGGGCAAGCCGTAGTCGAACTGGTGTGGTCGTCAAATGGGGCGATCATATCTTGGCATGGAAATCCCAGAGACAAAGCTTGACTGCTTGGAGCGCTTTTGAGGCTGAGGTTGATGCAAGTGCCACTACGTTTCAGACAGGAGTTCCTGTGAAAGTCATGTTGGAAAAAGTGACTGGCCATTCACTTGGAACATTTTTTGGGAGGAGACAATGCTGCCTGCATAGTGAACTTAGTGAAGGGCACGACTGCCACAGTACCAACTCGAACTCGCCATTTTGGCATCAGATGTTCTTACCTGAGAGACCACACTAAATCAGAAGGCATCGAAATCCGCCATGTTCCTGGAGCTGAAATCCCAGCCGATGCGCTGACAAAGGTGCTGCCCAGGTGCAAGTTGGCTGAATCTCGCATGAGATTGAACGTGCGGGCCCTTGATGCATCCAATTCCTTGATCTAAAGATGCAAGAACTTGAGGAGGAGTGTTTGTGCCGCGACTGTCTTCTCAGGTGAACATCTCATGGACTGTCTTAGGTGGAAAGACTTTCAGCGACAAGTTCAATCAGAGCCTGTGACTGTTGGAATTGGCTCAAGGTGCGTTAGAAAAAGGCGCACTGAGTGTCTCTTAGGTTGCCTGCATTGCTTTGCTGTCATGTTGCATTGAACTGACTGTAAACGCACAAATCGAGAAGTGTGAAGAGGCATTGCACAACCAAGAAGTGTAACAAGTCAGAGTGATTTGAGGAAGTTTTTGGTGAAATCAGATCTGAGAAGATTTTGACGAAAAACCAGGAAAGAGATTTGAAGAAGTGAGCAGTGAGAAAGAGTTGAAGGATTTGAGAGATTTTTTTTTGAAGAATGCCAATACCGAATCAGCCGATTGATTTCCCATCCACTGCATTGCGAATGCATCAGTCCATCAGCTCTCCAGTTCCTTCACATTTCTCCCATGTTCCTGATTCTCCATCTCCTGGATTCTCACAATTTCACAATCCAGCTGTGGTTTATCCATATCATATATAATATACAGTCATATAATCATATAAATTCATATCACCTGTACGAATACCATTCTCTGCAAAATTAATTAAGATTTTTGATTTATGGTCCAATGTAGTTTGTCACCGGCTTCACCTTTTGATGAAGATGTCCTATGAAGAACAAACAATGCAATTATCAATATGCTGTGTTGATTCTCTTTGAGGGAGAAGTAGCGGTTGCAGTACCCAAGGGTGAACGGTGGTAAACGTGATGTGCATGTTCAGTTTTTGAGTGGTAAAATTTTCAATGTTTTCTTTCAGAATCGTTTTCAAGCTCTCCTGTGGTGCAAGGTATTTTGGGCGTTGCCCAAAAAACCAGGTTTCACTGCTTTGCAGCATGCACACCTCATGACCGACCTGGAGCGAGAGGTTTTGGGACCACCAGTGCGACCTGTGAAGGACCATTTGAGCTTGAGCAAACAGGTCCAGAGCGGTGACCCCTCCACACCCCCCAAGGGTCGCAGCCGTTGGCTCAACGCCCGCGCGGCGGCCCCCCCGAACGGGGAGACCGATGTGGAGGCTCCCACGGTCGAATGGGTTCCTAACGACTCGGCGGGTGGGGGGTGCATTCTGGTTCTCCGATGCGAGCAGCTTTTGGACCGAGGATCCACCGTTATGGGCCACCCCCCATGCCCAGAATCCGACCGCCAACAGAGTCGCCGGTGACGGGCAAGATGGATCGGAGCATTGTTTTTTGTTTTTACTAAAATAGCCATAGCCACTTGGAAGATTGTTCAAGTAGTGTCAATGATGGAAAAAACATTGCGGTACTTCTTTTCGTGGTGCAGGCGCTTACAGCTTGCATGGTGCCTCTTGAGTCTCAGCCCAGTGGCCTCCACCGGCGCAGTGTCTGGACCACGTGCCCTGTGTTTGCCGACGGCGGTCAGCGCGGACCTTCGCAAGAACCTGACCAATGCGGAGGGAGAGTCCTTTCCAGTCGGGATGGTGGTGCAAGCATGGGCTTCTGCTGAGTTGGTGAGTGCACTCATGGAAATCCTCATCAGTGAAATGCTGGGGTACCATGTGCGAATCTTGCTTGCACCATGAGTTGCACCCAACAAGTGGGAACGGTTGCTTATCCACTGGCCGACCGTTCCGTGCCTCGGCACTCGGCACGACGGCGAGGCGTAGACCCGACAGCAGCGGTGGATGGCGCAGCGGGTATCCATGCGGTGCTAGGCTGTCGGACCTGGATGAATGAGAAGGATCGCGGTTGCGACACACGATGCTCAGATGAGACAGGGGAGGGGGAAGTTTTTGGGTTTGAAGTTGAAGAAGTTGCTTACCACTGCATGGGCATGGTTGGAACCTCCTTGCTCATGGTTTCATTCTTGCCAGATTCAGTTCTTGTCACCTGCTCTCTGAGTCAGGCTAAGAGGTGACATGAGGTGACACTTCTTTTGGGCACAAGTCAATGTTGCGAATCAGTAAGATCAACCAGTACAGTCTCAATTTGGGTATTAATTGAGGGTGTTTGAAGCAGGAGAAGTTGCTGTTTATCCAGCAACAGCAGTGTTGACTCTGTGTGCTGGCTAGCTTTACAAGCTCCAGATGGCACCTTAATAAGAGGCTTGTGTGTCCCGCCTACATTTGTTTCGCGCAAGACGGTCATTCAAGCTTTTGCCAACAGGGTTGCTCCTTTCCTAAACTTCGGGGAGAAGCAATGCACTGTAAATCTGTGGAGGACAATTCATGAGCTGGGGCCCTCATCATTTTGAACCGAATAACTATTTCTAGAAGTATCAGCCAACATGTGTTTTCTTTTTTTTCCCACCAATGAAGGGTGGGCCTCCAAGTCATGGTTTGTAGCAACACCCAAGAGACCGATGGTTTGGCACGCGCTCCATGCGCTCCATGGAATCGGCGGATCGAGCGCTGGTGGCGACGTCCAAGGTCAAGTGACGAATCATCTCCTGGTCGAGAGCTGGTGGTTAGGCTGGACGCACGTGGTCGAAGACTTGACAGAGATCTACAAGGCGGATGGGCGCATCTAGTAAATCGAAGCTACTAGGTGGAGGCCATCGCTAGTTGGTTGGAGGCCATCGCTAGTAGGTTGGAGGCCATCGCTGGTAGGTTGGAGGCCATCGCTAGTAGGTTGGAGGCCATCCCTAGGAGGCCATCGCTAGTAGGTTGGAGGCCATGGCTAGTAGGAGGCCATCGCTAGTAGGTTGGACATCGATCTTGGGTTGGAGGCCATCGCTCTTAGGTTGGAAGCCATCGCTCTTAGGTTGGAGGGCATCGCCGTTAGGTTGGAGGCCATCGCTAGTAGGTTGGAGGCCATCGCTAGTAGGTTGGAGGCCATCGCTAGTAGGTTGGAGGCCACCCCTAATAGGTTGGAGGCCATCGCTCTTAGGTTGGAGGCCATCGTTCCTAGGTTGGAGGCCATCGCTCTTAGGTTGGAGGCCATCGCTAGTAGGTTGGAGACCATCGCTAGTAGGTTGGAGGCCATCGCTAGTAGGTTGGAGGCCATCGCTCTTAGTTTGGAGGCCATTGCTAGTAGGTTGGAGGCCATCGCTCTTTGGTTGGAGGCCACCGCTCTGGAGGCCATCGCTAGTAGGTTGGAGGCCATCGCTCTTTGGTTAGAGGCCACTGGTATTAGGTTGGAGGCCATCACTAGTAGTTTGGAGGCCATCGCTAGTAGGTTGGAGGCCATCTCTAGTAGGTTGGAGGCAGTCGCTCTTGGGTTGGAGGCCATCGCGGATACACAAGTTCTTCTGTTACTGAGTTGCCCAGACCGTCCAGGGGACTGGCATATTTGCCTACATTGACCCCACTTCAACCACCCCAACTGATCGGTATATATGCCAGCCCCATGGATGTTTTATGGTCTGGGTTGGTTTATTTGCCACCTTTTTGTTGCCTTGAGACTCGAGAGTATTCAGGGTGGTGCGACTTTTGAGCACCAAGACACGATCATTTGGAAGATGTGTTTGGTTCCCGCAAACCTTGGCAGGCTGAGATGCCTGTCAGTGGAGGAGAGATGGGATACGATGGTGTCTCGCCACATTTTTGTTTCACGGTTTGCAAAAAGGCGCTTAGAGACAACTTGGGACAGATACCATCCATTGATACTTGTGGAACAGAAGTGGAGTTGAGCCCTGTTGGTGGAGGTAGTCTGAGGCCATGATGAATCCAAGGATCTCATCACCAGCTGAGGTGATGAAGGAATTTTTGTGCCTCAGCGTGCAATGCAAGCAGGGCAAGCTGAAGGCATTGCTTTGGACTTCTATAAGAGTTACAATGCTAGTGACTCAGCTGAAGAAAGAGGATCGCTCACGTCGGTTTTCTCGTGGTAGGCCTCCATTCTGGGATTATGGCACTCGCAACACTAGCATCCGGCCTCCCAACCCTCAACTTTGATGGCATCTCTTCCCCCTTTGGACAACCATCAAATCAATCTGAAGACCAGTCCCACGTGCTGCTATTCACTAGTCATATGACTTCAGGACGTGTTCCGTTCGCGGCTGCGAAGAGGATCCATATGACCTCCGTGCTTCGGTGCCGGACGACGGCCGCGTTGGTCGGACTCGAGTCCGGTCTCACCTGGAGGGTCCTCGGACCCCGCGCGGACCGGAGGAGAAACGTGCGGGTGGATGGTGCAAAGCATAGCATCGCCGCGGAATCCCCTCCCCGTCGACCTTGCGGAAGATTGGTCCTCCGCATGTCGGAGCCGACCCCCGTCGAGCTTTGGTCCGACACGACTGTTGGTCCGGTGTCGCCGAAGTTCTTTAGGTTGGCACAAGCCGTGGAGATTTTTCATGAACATCACAGTCATGAACCTCACGGACGATTTCATGCCCTGCGTGGACACCATGCTTGTGAACAATGCAACTGGCTACTACTACTGGAAACTCACGGGTGACGACGATGGCGTTGCCCGCGCCTTAGTCTCCGGTCGTAGGTTGAGATGGCATAGAGAAGTGATGACATGATGGCATTCACTGATCTGAACTTACATCATGGCGAAATGAACGAGAACTGGTCGTGACGTTGACATTGTCTTTGGTTTGGTTTGGTTTGGTTTGTCTGTCGCTCTGAACTGCCTGAAGTTCTCAGGTCATCACGGGACAAGAGTATGCCGCCTTCTGCGAGAATGGCTACACTTGGATGTCTCCTTCGTGCAGGTCGGATGATTTGCACATGAACTGCATTGTGTTTATCGAAGGATCCAGGTGGCAATTGGATTCATGGGCTGAAGTTGAAACGGCTGAAGCATCGTTTGCTTGTTAGCTTTCGCACCAAAAAAGGCAAACGAGTTGTTGGAGGGTCATTTCAAGTGATTTCAAGCGATGGACCTGTCCACGGACTTGGAGGTCCATTCAGTGGACCACTGAATGAACATGTTCTCGGTGGGAACGGTGCTCAGAATGATGCAGGTGATGCAGAGGATGAAGAATTGACAAGAGCCGATGGACAAATCACAGGCAAACATGTGAGTGGCATTGGTTGGGAGCAACTATTTTCCTTATGGTGCCCTAGATGGGTTGTTTGGCAAGTTCACGTCCAGGATATTCCAGGCTTTCAAGATGGGGATGATGTTACAAATCCTTGACCACGCCGCTCGTCGCTGTTTGTTTTCGTTCACCTGAGCGAGCTTCATGTGCCGGGTCACCTCGTGGGTGCCACAGGAATTGGCCATCTAGCTGTGTGATCTACCTGACGGGGGGCAATGGCTGGGGCGTGTTGCAAGGCGCCGCGAACCGTCTCCGCGCGAGTCGCGTCGCGTCGAAAACGGGACTCGCCACAGTCCCTGGCGATGTTGGTGCGGTGTGGTGCTGACAGGTCAGGTCGCCAGATGGAGATGGAAAGGCCATCAGCATTCAGCATCTGTCACACCGACCAGAGGCTCGCTCTGTGCAACCCAACGACCGACCGGACTCCCTTTCGGACTCAGCCGGACGAGTGTGCTAGGCATGCAACGAGCTGCTGTCTTCAACATTCCGCTGGGAATCGCTGTTGCTCGCTCCTGGAGCAAGTACGTGGCGTTGCCTTCTGCTTATACGACCTTGACCCTTGGATGCAACACCCGGTGATGGTATTTCCATGCGCAACATGGCTCCCCCACCGATGGACTTACCTCCGATTGCGAGTTACCTCGAGGCACTTTTCGATTGAACCTCGACCCACAAACTTTCGGGGAAATAGCTGACAAGTGGAACCATTACGTATATATCTAGATCTTCCAACTACGCAACATGTTTGCCCTTTCATCTATAAATCCCAGCCACACACAGAATTCTTGCTAGGGTATCTAAGCAACCTCGTGTGTTGACTCATGTGAGTGTAACTCCCATCTGCCAGGCTGAATTGGTGGACGCCGGATGATTCCTTTCTGGAGTTGAATCCGACTCCGTTGATCTTTCCTCGGCGGAGTGAGCTCGCGCACCTCCAACAGGATCTCACCTCTGCCATGGAGGCGGTGCACCTCACTAAGCTGATCAGCCACGATTTGGAATTCATGGCGCCTGGGGTGGTGCAGTTTCTGCGGCAGAGCCAGTGCTTCGGCAGATGGATTGGGGAGTAGTGAAAAAAAGACATAGAAAGGGACTAGAGGAGACCAAAGGGTTGCTGCAGGCAGCTCTGGATTTTTTTGGATTCCTCAGGCATCTCGTCGGAACAGCCGCACGGATGTGCAGAGCTTCTTCCCGCACATGCCCGCCCCGCCGTCGTGTCAAAACAACGACGCTCGGTGCCGAGGATTTATCTGAGCGAAGTGAACGACCTGATGCGAGCCCGAAAGGCTGGTCATTCGATCCACGAGGCGGCTTGTGAGTGGCTGAGAAGCCACGAGACACGCTGGCGTCCTTGGATTCCGGATCCCACCGCATGTGCACGTGGCTATGGTCTTCATGATGAGTATTTGGGTGAGTTCACCTCGTCTCGACCAAATGCCACCGGCTGCAAGGCGTGCCTTCCGGGCACGTATTCGGACTCCTTTCAAGACGATCAAGGTAGGAGCTATGTCTGCACCCCCTGCCCAGCTGGCACGGAGCAGCCGGCTGCCGGAGAAGTGGTTTGCAAGAATTGTCCTGTGGGAACTTTCAAGGCTGTGCAATCCAGTGATCAGTGCACACCATGCCCGAAGGGCTTCTACCAAAACCACACTGGAGCACAGACGTGCAAAGAATGCCCACAAGGGACGACTACACTCTTGCTAGGGGCAAAGAGAGGCTCCGAATGCGTTTGCCGAGCAGGTTCCATTGACTTATCTTCTGCTGAATCGGAAGTTGCTCATTGTGCGGCCTGCCCTGATGGATTGACTTGCCCAGACGGCAGCACGATGAATCTGCTCCAGTCAGGCGACCAAACTGGAAGTAAGGCTGATCAAGTGCCTGGAATCGCAGCTGGATTTTTCAGCTGGCCGGCAGAACCTCTCAAGGTCTTCAAATGTCGCACGGCAAGATGCCCTGGTGGAAGCCCAGGAACTTGCCAAGGGGGAGCCCTAGGTCCCACATGTGCTGCATGCTCTGATGGAGAGTACTGGGAAAATGGCCAATGCTCGGTCTGCCAGGTGTCTTTGAAGGCGTTCTGGTACTGCTTGCCCATTCTAGTGATTGCACTCTTGGTCGCTGCTTACTACATGGTGGAGACACACTACTTGGCCCTGCCCTCGCTGGCCGAATGCTCGCGCATGGGCTTCGAGATGATGCTGAACTTCGTGCAAAACATCGGCGTCCTGAGTCTGGTGATCGTTCCGTGGCCGGAGGGCCTGAAGGAACTCTTCGAGTTCTCGGAGGCCGACTGAGGGCGAGGTTGAACGTATGGTTTGGCCGTTTTGGTCTGGTTTTTATGGTCTGGTTTCTGAACAAACGTTTTCAGTTTTTGGATGGGACAAACATGGGATTGCTCAAACCGACAAGATCTCTTTCCTTTTTTGTCCCACCAAGTATTTATATATATATATATATGTAGGGGGTATATAATAACCCAATTCCATCCAAATTTGCAGGTCTTTGTGCTAAGTCTTCAGTCTTATGGTCTCAATTGCACCTCTAGCAGTGACTTGAACCAGTACCTGGTCGCTGCGGGACTCTTCCTGAGCTTTGCTGCAGTTGCACCCTGCTTGGGCTATCTCTCACAGTGGGTGCCGTGCTTGCGGCGCAGGGATTTAAGCTGGAGCTTCTACAGGACCATTTGCACGATAGGCAAGATCTATCAATCTCTCTTCGTGACCATGTGCAGTATTGGCCTCTCTCCTTTCATGTGCTACCTTCATCCAAATGGATTGCATAGCATGTTGAAATACCCCAACATGCTTTGCGGCAGCATTGAGCATGGGATCATGAGAATGGCTGGGGTTGCTGTATTGACCTTGAGTGCCAGCCACTTCGTCCTTTGCTGCTGGGCTTGCTATCAAGCACCCTCTTGGTCCAGGAAGAGGCCAGATCGGCTCACCAGTGTGGGATTTCTCATCCTGAACTTTCGACCATCTTCTTGGTGGTACAGCTTGATCATACTACTTCGAGGCAGGTTCCGGGTATGACCGGGGTGATTTGCTCATGCGGTTTGCTGGTTTATTTTCCATAGGCCACAGTCCACAGGCTTTGATTGAGCTGGTAGGGCTGGTAGGTAGAAACGCCAACAATCCAACTGGTGTTGAAGTATGTTGAAAGAGGATGATCCACCACTGGATCCTCCTCCTCCCCTAGGACTTTTCATCTCCGTGGGACAAGTCATCGCGCCCGACGCACAAGGGGTGCAGCTGCTGGTGATGAGTTTGATCATGATCCTTGTTAGGACAAATTGAAGCTTTCCCTTTCTTTTCGTTTCGTTCCTTTTCTGTTATTTTCTTTCTTATTCTTCTGTATTTTAACAGGGCAGTTACAGCTCCTTCGCAAAGGAGTTAAACACAGCTGAGGATTGTTTCTCTTAGCCTTCAGCTCTATGTGCTCCCTTGGAAAGCCCCACTGCTCAACCTCGTCGATGCTGTTTCCACAGTCTTGTTCCTGACCTTGTTGGCAGTGGCCCTACACTTGTCACCCGTGGACTCACAATCCTTCTTGGATGCCTTTGGATCCATCATCTTCTTCTTCAGTCTCGCACTCATTACTTCTTTGGGCTGCCTCATGATGGGCATGTTAGCCCTACAACGGTGTTGTCGGACAGAAGGACTGAGTCACTGTGTGACTGAGCGGCCCAAGAGACCTCAGTTCGATGTCAGCCAGAGACGTTTCTCAAACAGGCCATTGTGCGAAGGGTCAGATGTGCCGAACGCCACCTCTTCTGGTGGGGGTCTTTTCTCCACGTTGCCACGAAAACGCCCCGGATCCTGGTTCCGATGTCTTTCGCCAGGATCGCACATCCGATTGCTGAACCTGGGGACGCCCTTCCGTCCGGCCGACCTGCTCATGCTTTTGGACTCCATGTGCGCCAATTTAATGCGGAAGCACGAAGTCGAGCGTCAGACGCTGTTGAGGAGCGGAAGGGGCCCTCCAAGTCCACTGGGGGGGGAGTGGACCTCCGACCTATGACGTGTCCAACACGTGGAGCCGCCAAACCCGAACGAATAGGGGTTGTCTAGCTGCCTAGCCGAGGTGATGACGAGGTGGGTCATCCGGGGTGTCCCAAAACCACACGATTGATCTATCGAAAGGAAGGTTCTGGTATACAGGTGAATCACGGGCCGTGGGATGTTTTCCAAATCAGCGACTTTGGGAGCTACTAGTAGCTCCTGGCACTACTAGTAGCAAATAGCTACTAGGAGCAAGGCACTTTGGATGTGGGAAGGGAGGCTCAAGGCGTGACCCTCGGCTGGATGGGTTTTAGGGAAGTGGAGTCTGCAGCGACCGATGCGCATCCCCGAAGTGACCCGAAGAGCTCGATGTGATCGGAATCACATGTGAGATCGGGCCAACGCCACGCTCCGTTGTTCGAGCCGCACGCTCTGGTCCAGCAGTCACGTGACCGACGGGGTGCGGACTCCGGTGCCATCGGGGTGCCCCTGTCACATCACATCGCCCCGAACGGCTGGGACGAGCCACACCCCGTCGGTCACGTGACTGCTGGGTGTGTGACTCGAGTCCGTCCGTCCGAGTCCGTTGGTCGACTCGTCATCCGGTGTTCTGGAGCGGTACCAAACGGTCGACTCGAGTCCACCCATTGGGTACACGAGTCCGGTGATTTGGCTGGTGATTGGTCGGTCGGCTCATTGAGGGACAAAAAGAAAGGTCCCAGAGAAAGCTCCAGGTCGCACAGAAGCGCAAGTAGCACAGCTCAGTGCACAGCTCGGTTCAAACATGCTGATGTAACAAACACATCGGTCCTAAAAGTCGTGTTTCTCCTTTCACCCGGAATCCCAAAATGCCCAATCCGTGCTTTGACAGATTTTGCTCTTTGGATACCTGAGCCTTTTGTTCGACGATTTTTCAGTTTTTCTGAGCTGTTTTCGTCATGTAAAGTCCTTTGCAAAACTCTATGGTTGTTCGGTATCGACGATGATATAAACACAATGGTGTTCGGTATCGACGGTGTAGACAGACACATCCGATCTTCCAGGAAGATGTCGAGTGGATTGTCTCTCTATGACATTCATGCAGTCGAGAGTGCTTCTTGGGCTTCATGAAAATGGCTGTGAAATCTGGCGATCAAAAGCCAACTCAAGCGGGAGAGAGAGTTTGACACGTCGATTTTGGACACGGGTTTGTCGATGGAAACCATCGATCTTCCGAGTCGATGGTTCAGCTGCTTTTGATGGGGTGGGGTGGGTAGGTTGATCCACCTCCTTGATTGGTCCATTGGACAGATCTAGGATCGAGCCATCTGACACCAGTTTGTCATAGGAAAAGGCCTATGTTGGGTAGTTGGTGGGCCAAAGAAAGGCCTGGTTGATTGGCCTCGAGATACACTCGCCGTTGATGGCCCCGGAGAACTCGGCATGACGCAATCCATGGTCAACCCGAAGACCCAAAACAGGTGTGGATCTTTTAGCCATTTGCAAAACAGATCATTTCCAAGTGGAACAGGTTGTTTTTAGCCATTTCCAAGTGATCTTTTCCCCGGAAACAGATCGCTCCTGCGACATACTCGCGCTCCTGAGGCTTTGAAGGTCTTGTGCGTGGATTTTGAGCTGCTTGCGGATGAGTCTGTAAGGGAAAGTCGGATTGTGGGCGAGCGGATCAGTCGGATGAAGAGAAGGATGGTGGACACTTCATGAGTCATGAGTCATGAGTCAGAAAGCACACAGTCCTTTTTGGACATGCAACCGTAGTTCGACCGTGTTTTTGGGAGCTTGTTCAAAGCAGACGCAAGGACCGGTAAGTCACCCCTGGTCTAGTCAGTCAGTTTCTCTGTCTTTCGCTCCAAATGGTCCGCGCGGCGGGCGCCATCCTCCAGGACGCTGCTCCTCCACAGCCTCTCGGAGGATGGCTTTCTGCGCTTGCAGACGGTCGAGCGCCTGACTGCGGAGAGCGATCTCGATCGCTCGCAGGACGAGGGCGGACCCGAAGGCTGCGGAGGAACCGAAGGCTGCTTCTAGATTTCTGGCTGCCTATCAGTTCGAAGAGACCAGCTCTTGCTTGCTGCCTTGCCTTGCCTTGCTTGGCCGTGCTTGGCTTGGTTGCGCAAAGACGTTTCGGGGCGCATAGTTGGCACATGTAGAGGGTGTGTGGCATAGGTTTTTCACCATCCGGCTGCACGAAATGGCTATGTTGATTATGTTGACTCCTTTTCCACGCGCGCAGTGTCTGCGCGGTTTGCCCGCTTCGTTTAGGTTTAAAAGCTGTTCTTGAACCCGGAAGACTCACTCCATCATGATGGTTATTGCATGCTGATTCTGCAACATAGGGTGGGGCTGGCGGGGTGAGCCCATCTGAAGCCACAGTGGATTTGCGCTATTACATATCATTTTTTGCCTAAACTCGGTGGGATGCTCGGTCGCCCGGCGAAAGATGTAGCCGGAATTTCCAGGTTTTTCACGCCTGTAACGACACGCCTGTAGCATGCAGGTGCAAAAAAGGCAGCAGATCTTGGGGGGGCTTCGGGGGGTGAGATTAGATCTTCGCTGCGGCGCGATATGGGACGCAGTGTTGGATGTTGTTGCTGATCATAAAGCCACAAAAGAAGAACATTTGGCCATGACACAAGAATTCGATGGACATGCCTCTTGAGTCGTTGAACTTAAGTGGTTTTGATAGAGTTCGGGTCTCTCAGTCTCTTCTCTTTTGTCCAATCAATTCCACACGGAGTTGTTTCATTTTTCGCGAGGATGAGAACTTCAAGCAGGCTGAAGATTCGCATGAAGTCCGGCCAAAGGATGCAGCCTTTCAAGACCTGGTTCGTCAGACCTTTTCGTTTTGATGGCGAAGAACCAACATCCTGTGCCCCTTTTTCAGGGTCAGCTTGACCCTTTTCATGTGCGGTCTCGCCTCAAAAAGCCGAGCACGAGCTTGAAAAAGCTGGGATTTTTCACGATGCCGAACTGCGTCGCACGTCGGACGGCATCGGGCCAATGCAACTTGTGCAGAAGACTCCACCCCAAAGGGGTGCTGTTGGGGCTTTGTGATCGGAAAAAAGGCTGACTGAAGTGCTAGCTCCATTCCGATGCATTCATAGGATGAGGCCCAACTTGATTTGTATAACCCAGGTTGCGATTCTGAAACAGCAGCTCCCGTCTTTGGATTGATCTTCAGCTGCAAAGTCGTTGGCTTCAGATACGTCACGTTGTAGCATTTCTTTGCAAAGAAACCAGATGGATCACACAGAAGGTAACCATGCAGGACTTGGGCCATTTTGGATGATCGAAGAGGCTTTGGTTGGCTGATGTTGGCTGCGCTCCTTTTCTGCAGAGACACATAGACGACTCGAAGGTAGAAGATAGTCACTGAGTAACATGGGCTCGAGTCGCGAGTCGCATGGCTCGCCACATGGAGTCGGTGTCACACGACTCCACGCACACGGTCCGGGGTGACGACAGGAAGAACTGCGCATAGCACTGCATAGCATGTTGGATCTCTTTGGGATTTCCGACGGTGGTAACTCCTCCCCTTCTTTCGCCGGAAAACGTCTGCAGCATCCCCCTCCTCCTCGAAGCTTTCTGCGCCCCCCAATGGGATCGAAGCTGCTGCGCAGAACGCCCGATGAGGCCGCAGTTTCAGCGGCGCAGTTTCAGCTCGTTCGTGGGCGTCTGAATGCGCGCAGCGCATTCAGACCTCGCCGTTTCCGACCGGGCAAGGATCACCCAAAGTCCAGACAGATGGTCAAGTCCAGACAGATGGTCAAGTCCTTTGATTTCTTTTTGGGGGGAAGAATCTAGTTCCCAGACGCTCCATGGGACTGGTAAAAACATGCCGATCAGTTGGCTCTCCCCCAGGCACCACCCCCTGGCCGTTTCGAAGGCAGTCCGGACTGGCAGTCCCATGAGGAAAGCGTCTGGGGTTTGCTTTTTAGACACTTCGATGCTTCGTTGCCATTCCTCGCGGGGGAACGTTGCCACGCAGCGCAGCGACCGCGACGGCCACGCAGCGCTGACCATGATCGAACCCAAACCGGCGGCTAGCTGAAGCCGAAGTGGACTCCCTGGAACTGAAACAGCATCAATGGAAGTGGAAGTGGAACATGGAAGTGGAACATGGAAGTGGAACATGGAAGTGGAAGTTTCACTGACCATGGAAGTGGAACATGGTCGGTTGGACCATGAAATCAATCCGGTTATGACCCAGCAGCTTGGTGGTGAGCGCTACGTCGCCATGTGACTTGGTCGAGCCGGCCGGACCACCACAGCTCTTGAAAGAAGGTGGGACCGGGGGTCTAACCGGTCTAATCTGACCCTAGGCCCTAGGCTTCCAACAACCATTTAAATTACTATGCCTGCTTTACCGAATCAACTAAGGATTGTACACTACAAAAACCAGGTCAACCATTTTTTAAATTAAATGGTCCTAAGGAAGTCTAGGGCTGAGGATTTGCTTGGAGTCCTAGGAAGTGTCAACCCCCAAGGCTCGAGCGGCCCGAACCCGGTCGCACGGTGGGTTCGAACAGGCTGGCTTTGGCCTCCGGCCTGCGCTTGGGTGCCGGGACCACCCGACGGGCGCGGGGTTTTCGAGCGCTGTGTTTGGGGCGATCTCGTTTTCGAGCGAAGAAAAACAGTTGGTTTTCGTATGATTTCGGAGTTCGCGAAACCAAACATATATCTTGTTCGTTTAGTTTTCAACAGCTTGTTTATGGTGAGCCTGTTTCCTGAGTCTCCTTCAACGTCTCAGACTTATGGCAGCCTGGACGGGTCATCAGTTTTATGGCTATTTAGACGGGTCAAGAGCCTGGACGGGGCATCCGGCAGCTGGTGTTTGCCATGCTTGGGTGTTTTTGGGATAAGTGCAACCCGCCGGCGCCAAGAAGCCTACCATGGCATTGTCGCAAAGGCACAAGAGTGATGTGTTTGTCCTTTTGCAGGTTGTTGCCACCCGGCAGGTGGGCATGAACTCGCTATATGGCTGGTCATCCACAGTGCTGAGCGCTTGGGGAACAACATCAAACAACTGAAATCCAATGCTCCGCACGATATACCTTCTGACTCACTTTCCCATGAAAGTGGATGGCATGATTTGAGGGTGTCGGTGTCTTTTTTGTTAAACACAGGAGTGGATGTGGCGTCGTTTATTTTTTCGCATGGTTGGATCGGGAGTGTATCATGCCAGATGTTGGAGAGTGATGCTCTTCACTTGGTACAGTACCAAGCTAGCTTAGAACTTCTAAAGTGATGTTTTTGCTCAACAACTGAGCTTCACAATGGGCCGTTCAGAGGTTCCAGTGGGTAGGTGAATCGCCATCCTCTCTCATCCTCGAAAAAACCACATCCGGGTCGCCCTAAGCAGGCAGAGCTGCTGCTGCTGCAGTCGTATCTGTTGGGAAGCCTCGGTACTGCCGAGGACGCCACCGGTAGACTGAGAGACGGAGAGACGGTGAACGACGGCAACGGTTGGAACCTTCAAGGATTGGGGGAGCTGGACATCTATGAGTCTATCCCTAGAAGTCCAGTTCGACTCTTATAGGCACCACCCAAGTGTTTTTTTCGGAAGTTCCTGAACTCGGATCACCCTTCGTCAGACCGTTTTAAAAATAGTCGACTGGACTCCCAGGGGATCACCATCATCACAATCCCAGTTCAGAGGATTCGACGTACTGAACCCTTGCCGAGCGAGCGGGGTCTGGGATCGCCGATCTCGCCGATGAGATCTGGGATCGCCGAAGGGCCAGTGGTTGAATCTCCTGGGGCCGTCTTTGGGAAGTCTTTTGGGGGTTGAAGTCTTGCCAACCTCGGAGCACCTGCCGCAAGTCCTTCACGAACACCTCCTGCCGCAACCAAAACCGCCCCACCCAGCGCCAACACTTGCGCGGGGCTTCGTGCAAGTGTTGGGGGAGCCTCTCTCCCGTCCCAGCCCGCACCACCCAGCGCTCGACCCGTGCCGTTCGGAACCGATCCGCTAGGATCGCAGCACGGCCGAGAGCCTCCAAGTCCTCCTCCTGGCCGGAGGCGCTGAAACCGCTTCGTTCCGACCTGCTGGTGCCTTTTTTGGGACCCGGTGTTTGAAGCCGCAGCCGGCTCCAACCCCCTCCCTCCATCGAAAACCCCCCACATTTCCGGTTCCGAGTTCCGACCGGTGCTGTGGGCACCTCGATTCATCAGGTGTTGACTCACCCCCCTGAGTTCCGCACATGGAGTGGGGGAGCAGCGACCGGACCGGGGAGAACGACGTGGGCCCCTCACATCCGGTCCTGAAGCGTGCGGCCACGCTTCGGCCGTGCGACCGGAAAGGGCTTCATGCTGAGGAGGAGGGAGAAGGCGTGTTGACACCGGGGGGCCGTGTGTGGGAGGTGTGTGGGAGGTGTGTGAGACCGGTGAAGCAGTTGGGGGATGCAGAAATGCGATCCAAACAGCGCAATAACCAACATGCCTTGCTTAGAGGATGCATTGAAAAGATCAAAAACATATGAAATTCACACATATCTTGAATGATCAGTGGAGCTAGGGCCTTCTAGGGGGCCTTCACCCAACGCAGTTTTGCTTTCACTCGGGTCGCATTTCCAGCAGTTTTGCTGTCATTTTTGTCGGCAAACTGCAGTAAGCAAGACTACCACACACCCAAAATGGAAAACAGGGATGATTGGAAAGAAGACCATGCTCCAAATTGATGATGATGCCCATGAAGATAGAAATGAACATAGCATGAACACGTGATTACATTTAGTGTGCACAATGTAAGGCTGTCAGATTCTAATGCATTGGTCAGTCAACCTAAAGACCTCTGGTTCCAAGAACGGCATGGCCATGGTCCTCCTGATTTCAAGATCATCCGTGTGTGATTATTCTTTGTGTTTTTTTTGTTGTTTTTTTAAGAAAGGTCGTCCGGTCACCCGTCCACATGGCCTTGTCTTTTGGCATTCGGTCAAGACATTGACCAGGTGTGTTCCACACGGATCGACAGCTGGATTTGTTTATTTTTTTTGGAGTCACTCTCGGTTCATCCCTGTTGGAATATCCACTATGAAATGGGGGGGGTCATCCCCCTCTATAAAACGTTTTATGTATTAACTGTTGGGGGATACACCCCCTCACTTTTGGGGGATCTCGGTTCACTCGTTTTTTGACGCATTCCGAGAGTGGGGATGGGGGGAGGGAGAGAGTCGTGAGTCACGAATCGAAGGTTCCGTCGACCTGGTCGTGTCACGGTGGTGGGAGAACAAAATCGATGAGCCACAAAAACCTCTGGTGGTGCTGGTGGGACCCCCCCGCAAGCTGCTGGTGGACATCCCATTTCTGCAAACGGTTTCTGCGTTCTGGGTGTCCTGTTTTCGAGGGCGGAGGGTGGGCGGAGGGTGGTTAAATCCAAAAAGACAGGACCCCAGAAGTGGAGTTGGACTACCCTTGGGATTCACATGGAAGTGGAAAACCCCTTGTTTGTAGAGGAACAAGGTCTTCCGTTAGGGGCCATGCCATCAACGTAACCATGTTAGTTCGGAGTGTATGTTAGGTGCCAGCAAGTTGTGTTCAGGACATATCTGTTTGGGGTCACCAAGTCCCATTTGCTTTCATCCGCTGGACTCGCAGGGGGAACCTGCAAACCCACGTGATGTCGACGCCCGTTTTTCTGAACTGCGGGTCGTGGGCGATCTAAAACAGAGGTCACTCGGGGTCTATAGGTGCCTGGAGCCTGAGTGACCTCTTTCTTTGGACCGCCAAAATCCTAAATATCGTCGTTTCCTATCAAGCAGGGATCAAGTGGGTTCCAGGTACATATAATATATGTACACAATGTGTTTGCTACACATGTATATTCTACATATAATATGTATATGCATATTGCATTTTTTGCATTCGGTACCCCCTGATTGGACCCCTACTAAACCTGATCATCGACCCGAGTCATGTCAAGGCACCCGAAGATGCAGCTTAGATAACAGCGGATTGATGGCCTGTCAATGGCACCCTTCCCAAAGACGCACCTTTTAACATTGTTTTTCAAATTGAAAAGCACCAAGTAGTGGTGAGTACAGCATAGTTGGCATAGTTGACACTCCCCAAAGATGTTCTCTTTTGCAACCAAGGCACATATTTTTTCCATGGTTTGTGTTAAAAAGCTGGTTGCTTTTCGCTTGCGGAAGTCGACGATCTAATTCTCAAGGAGGTGAATGGTTTCTCTTCAGGGTGTTCCGAATAAATGGCTTTGCCCTTGTGGATGTTGTGTACACTCGAAAGACTCCTGGTCCGTGCATGGCGCCACTTGGTCTTCGGAACCGGGTCCGGGTCGGAGCCATTGGAGTTCCGCACGAGATTTCCACCGAAACCAGTCTTTCAGGGAGTGTCACCGTGTTCTCCGGAACTTCGGTCCCGTTTGGCTCTTTTCGGGGCTTCCTCTCCGAACTTTCGGGACGTTTTTCGGGTCGAACAATTCGCTTTGTGGGACCGGGCGGGTGGAACAAGACCGGCGGCGTTTTGCGGGTGGCGAAGAACGAAGGGAGGGCTTTTCGGTGGAAAAGTCTAAGTCTGAAAAGCCCAAAAGTGGGTGAAGATCCCTTCGCCAGACCCCCACTTTAGTCGGTGTTTGTTCTTTCTCTTTGGCTGTCTTCGGATTTGGAGTGGAGAACCCTTGTTCCTTTTCTTATTTATATAAACAGAGACACTGCATGAAATTGAAACAACAAAAGCATGAAGCTGATTGCTGGTCGGTCAATGACTTGGATCTTGGGCTCAATCAAGCTGAAGATGTTTTCATTGCACAGAGGCAGCTTCATTCAGCCGATTCAGGATGGTCAGCTTGAAAGGAAGAAGCTGAAAATAGCACAGAATCCTCTTCCAGACAACACTTCGAAACCAGAACACTTAAAAGACCCTGAAGCCAATTTCATGGAGTGATTTGCACGTGTTAGGCCTCATCTTGTGCCACTTCAAGCCGCCTCTTCTTCCTGTCAGGCCTCATCTTCCAGTCTTTGTTGCATCCATTTTCGTCCGCCACGTGGCCCCAGTGACCCCATGAGCGGCAGCAACTTGGAGGCGAAGAATGAGCTGAACAGCTTCTTGCAGAAGACTCTTGGTGAGTCACCGCGGACAGACGGCGCTTCGAGGGGGTTCGGACGGACTCCATCTCCCCAACTCCGAAGGCGGAGGGGAGGGTGGGGTGGCAGCGTGGGCAGCGTGGTTTGGGGGAATCGCGCCCAAAAAGGGGAGCCTTGGGGAACATCTGCCTTTCAAGGATCTCCGGAGTGCCGTGGAAGGACGAACCTGCAGGGTCTCTCGAAATCCGCGAGCTCGCGGGACCGGTGGGCCTGGTCCTTGCGGACCAAAGGACTGCTTGGTCCGGCTTTCGGAGCCATGAATCGACAAGAGAGAGACACTCTCCGGAAGCACGTCCCGAAAGAATCACGGCGCGGTCGCATGGTGAATGGTGGTCGGAGGAGCATGAAATCCGAAGAGCAAGTAGGTGGTAAACTGTACTTCCATGATTCCAGACACTCCATGGGACTGCCATATATGCCGATCAGTTGGGGTGGTTTGAGGGGTGTAGGCATATATGGCAGTCCCATGGAGTGTCTGGGTGATTCCAGAGAGTGTACATGTAGTTGATGTCGTTTTGGAGGACCACAGGCAGGGCTCTCCATGTCCATGTCCATGCCGCTCTGCGCGGCCGTCACCGTCTGATCAGTCGCCAGTGATCACCGGTCATTTCTCACAGAAAGCACCCTGTTGGCGCTAAGGCATTGCAAGAGACCTTTGACAAAGTCAGATATCACCTACAGAGTGAGTGTCTTGGATGTCTTGGGCAGACTTCGGGAAACTGGGCAGACTGTTCTGTTGAAACCGTGGCGCGCGGGACCCTGCTTTCTTCGCGGTTTCGGCCCGGTGGCCGGTGGGGCGACCATCGGGTTCTAGGTTCCAAGAGGGCGAACCATGCATGATTCCCCTTCAAAGCAACAACAGGAAACGCACGAAGCCACCAATCGCGACACTTCACTTTGGGGATGCTTCCCAGCACTGGAGTGTCGCTGTCGCCCCAAGAGCAACACACTCTTTTTCAGCAGCCACGGTGCTAGTGTGACACCGGCGAACGCCGTTCGGTGTAACACCGGCTCTCCAAGTCCGACCTGAGTGGCTCCAAATGAGGTTAGCTTCTCAAAAGAAGAACCACTTCGTCCATGGGGAACTATAGGTAGTGGGACTCATTTGTTGGAAGCAACTGGTTTGCCCGTTTCGCGCGGAAAGACATGGGTCTCACCCGTTTCCCTTTCGTCTAGACACCGCGAACGGATATTCCTGCAGGGGGTATGTACAGCGAAAAGCTGAAGGACCGGAGGACGCGGTCATGCGACACGATGCAAGTGACGTCGGTAGATGAACCCAGGTATCCTGGTGCATTGACCCACAGGTACTTGAGTGGGGAAGGAGAGAAGAAGACCGACCCTTAATGATCTGATTCTCCAATCTCTCTAGCACATTCCATGAATATGAATATAACCAGTCAGATCAGTCGTGGCTGGGAGGATGACATAGGATGACCATGATTGGATGGATCACCCGTGTCATGCAGTCGTGCCACTTCATTTGTGCGGCTTCCACAGATGACTTCACGCAAGCCCATGCTCCTCTCCTCCTCACCGCGCGTTTCACGCGAGGCAAATATGGGGTGCAATACCAGGCGGGAGCGAGTGGGCGGACACCAGCCGGTGGGCTGTCCGGCTCGTGAGGCTGTCTGGTCTAAGCGGTGGGTCGTCCGGTAGTTTGTCGAAAAGCAATCGGTGTGGCAATGCCACTCATCCACTGGGCCCTGGTTTACTACATACCCCTAACTGTAACTCAAGAGGTTTTACCCGGGAAATGGGATGATTGTGGTGCAAAAGTGCACCGACCAAACTTGACCATTTTCATTTGCCATGTCTGAAGTTGCAAAAGTTGCATCTTGCAGGCAGAGCCTGCTTTTCGAGGACTACATGTATACTACCTCCCCCATCCACAAAAAACTCCCAAAACTCATCTAAATGAAAGCGCAAGTGGAAATGAAAGAGCAAGTTCCGGGATCGCGAACGCGAAGAACAAGAATTCTGAACCCCCAGCTTCTCCACTACACTCGGCAATTCCCATGGCAGGCGATACGTACAAGCCGGGACTTGCTCAAAAGAACAGGCAATGTTTGCCAAGATGTTCAGATGACAAACGTCGTGTGGCGAGCGAAGAAACATAGCTGATGCCCCCAATCCAACATATCAAGTCTTTGGCACTCAAAACACAGGTTTCGAGTGTCTTCACTTCAAAAATCAAGCAAATTATGGCAACTCCAAAATGGATGGCTT